CGAGCTTCTACGGTAATCTCGATCATCATGTCGACCTCGAGATTCCTTGTTCCGTTGACTCACGCTATGCCGTCGTTCATTGTAACGAGAAGAATGACGACGAGAAGATGAGTGGTGGTAACTTTCATCGTCAGAGGAAAATTCTTCTCTACTGCGTTTAGGTTTACGCGAAGGTGCACCAGAATTTTCAACACGAAAAGCGGAGCCATCACTACGAGTTTCGTCTTCATCAATCATCATATTGTCGGTCGAACTCGAGTTGTTACCTAGAACCTCCTTTCGATGTTTTTCCTCCTCCTCCAGTCCATTCTTCCGTTCAGAGTCACGACGACTGTGATGAGTGTGATAATTACGGTCACGTTCGTGATGACGACGGTGACTGTGGGAGTGTTTGCTGGAGTGTCGATGCTTGCGCTCTTCCCTATGCCTACGTTCCCTCTCACTGCAATCACCTTTTCCCCTTTCAACTGCGGAGTCACCCTCGTGACTCCCGGAACTTTGCCTGCGTTCTTTTGTCGATTCTTCGGTAGCCTGGCTTTCAGGTGAGTGTTGTTGACCCGAACCGGAAAGAGCGGCCAATCCATTGGTCATTTCCTCAATGTTTCGTTTGCTCTTGTCATCTTCGCTATCAAAAGTTCCAGAGTCATCAACTATCTCACCTTCTTCCGCTTCTGACAGTGTTGGTTTAGTATCCATTTTTTTTCGACAAAGAAATATTTTACGGAAAAGATTAAAAAAGAGATCAGAAAATGTAATGGGTTTCCCGAAATACACACAAAAAAAAAAATTTGGTCCAAATTCACAAACTGAATGCAGTAAACGGTTTGCTATAGAATAAAAAATGATAAAGTCTCTAGCGTGAACGTGCAGTAGCTGACGAAAGTCAAAGTTAGCCTGCTTATTCTTTTTATCTGTATAATGATAATGTAATGTAAACTTGAGATGCTGACTTTTTTTTTTTTCGGCTTTTAAACCAAATGAGGGAATCGGCGGCGCAGCCCGGCATGTCATGTGATGATCCGTTAATAAAAAAGCGTTTTATATTGTAAAACTCGGGGAATAATGTTTTTCAGCGAGACGCTTTTGCAAGAGCCTTCAGACAAGCAGACCACCAGAACATGGTCGGAGGTGGCCTCTTCTCGCTTCAAGTCCCGTCGAAGCAAGCACCCGCGTAAAAAGCAGCGCACGAATTCTCAAGAGTATGACGATCTTCTGGTCTTTGGGTACGAGGTGAAAACTTTTCGCGACGACGAAATGTCGAAGAAAGTCGACGAAGGCAACTTGCTCATTAGCTGGAGAGGGGAGACGGAAAACAGAATCTTGCTCGACAGGTGAGCCACGTCTCACGAAGAGTGGAGGGGACGGAATTTCCTAATTTTCTTGAAATTCACATTATTCCGGTTTGTGTGTGTAGATATGACGTAAGAAATTTGCTTGACGACCGCGAACAATTCAAGAAAGCGTCTTACACAATGTCACGGAGAAATGAAGACATCGAGCAAGAGAAAATCATTGATGAAGAACGTTGGAGAGATTTGGATTCTGAGTCCGAAGATCTCTTCGAAATGTCTGAAGAGGAAAGAGACGAATATATAGGTATCTCTAGTGGATGGATCTTCCGTCTTTGATGATGCATCATTCACTCATACATGAATTACAAATCATAGAAGAAAAAAAGGAAAAGAGGACTACTGACGAAAACAAAGGATACAATTATCACTATCAATATACCGAAGAGTCCCAGTCCTATGGTACGTTGAGAATAGGTTTGCGGGAGGAAATGTTAAATCAGAGGATAGATAACTCTTTACTTTGTCATCATAGACGAAACGGAGGAGAGTAATAACGAAGTCAAATCGACGTATACTCCAAAATACTCCGTTCCCGTGGGCATGACGACAGTAAGAGAAAAAAAAATTATTGAGATGCACCACTGTCTTAAAAAAAAAAAAAAAAAACTTGAGCTAAACCTTGCAAATCTGGTAGCCTCTGGACAATCGTGTGGACGAGATCATTGAACGTACTGCTAAATTCCTTAACGCCAGCACCGATCCCCAGATGGAAATTGTCATCCAAGCCAAACAAGCCAGCAATCCAAGCTTCTCGTTTTTGAACAAGGAAGACCCACTCTATCCTTATTACAAACATGTTCGTGTATTGCTTCAAACTGGTCTTTTCGCATACGGAGATGATAATGAC